GCAACAGGATTTTACATTTTAATTAGGGCTTGCCTACACTTGAAACATCACGCTGGTACAGCTGCAATGCCTCACCTGCTCTGCTGTAGTGCTTCAGTGTAGACACTGCATATGACGACGGGAGGGGTTCTCCCACTGGCATAGATAATCAACCTCCCCAAGAGGCAGTACTTAGGTCGAAGGAAGAATTCTTCCCTCAACCTAGTGCTACGGGGCTAGATTGGCTTAACTACATTGTGTTGCTTGGGGCTGTGAATTTTTCATACCTCTGAATGAAGTAGCTGGGTTGACCTAACTTTTTAGTGTAGACCAGGCCTTAGAGCACTGCTTCGAAGAGAATGATGTTGTTTACAATGTTGCTACATCTGGTATTTCAAAAAAGATTAAAGACCAAAACAACTAGACACAAAAATGCTCTCTAAATATAGTAATTAAAATACCAATGGTGCAAACACTTATTAGCTAAACATCAGAAAACTTCCTGCAATCATCACACTGAAAGCTTATTTAACTTGGAATTGAATTACAGAAAACAGTGCATGGTATGGAAAAAGCAGTGTTCATAGATTGTAAACTCTATGGGTCACAGACATCTTTTAATTTATCTGTAAAGAGCCATGTACACCAGTAGTATTATACTTTATCAGAAAAATGAATAATACAGTAGTTGTGCCAAATAAATTTGGATTGAGTTGTACTTGGTAGAATGCTATAAAACCACATTTTTCTGATGGTTATAATAGTGTCTGCAGAATATACACTTTCATTTGAAAAAAAAGTTATTGAGCCTTGTGGTTGCAAAGATAATCTTCCATGCATTGCTTCCAGATGAGGAGGAGAAGACAGCTAGACAGATATGAGTGGCATCATCATCATGAACACTAGCATGAAGAGACTGAGATGACCCATTTCTAGTTAATCCAGGCAGTTTATGTGCTTTTACTGTCATTTTTGTAGAAGACTATTGTCATGCATTGTGAATTAATATTCACACTACTCCATTATACTAAAAAAAATAATCCTATGTCTTCTACATGCTAAACATCTTTTTGAGATGCTAAAATTTAGCTTCACTTTCACTTAATCTGATTTCTAACAGATTTCACTTAATCTGTCATGGGATCTTCCTTAAACTATTGGGGCTCAGCCCTGATAGACCTGGGGCATCACTCCAATACTGACTTTCAGCCAGACCCCTGTCCACAGACTTGAACACAGCTGCATACTTTCTTCCTGCAAAAGAAACACACCTACATTTAAAAATAAGTGCCAGTATGTTTGTTAGCATAAACATTCTTGTGCTGGTTTGTTTTAACTAGTTCCTTTTTAACAGTCTATTTTACTAATCCAATTACTTTCACTCTGAGACATGTACGTGGCTTCTGCTTAAAGCAAGAGAAAATTAACAAACGCAGGACAGATTTTTGGTGCATTAAGTATTGATTACTGTCCATTTGAGTAGACAGGATTTTCTGTTCAAAGGTTCAATTAGAAATAGCCAAGCAATAAATTCTTTCTGCTCTTATGGCTCCATAATTGAACCTCCAATAGCATTTCATGCATCTGCTATTCTTTCAAAGATAAAAACAGTTTCTCTGGCTTATCAGAAGTTTTACAATTAATTTCACTTTAGTTCTCTCAAGTCTCTCCAATTTTTAACTGCCATCCTTTCAGGTGGAAGCTCTGGCATTAGTTCAATCTCTGTCAGTTGCTTAAGTGTGTTGTCTGATTATGTCTTATAAAACACTTTTCCACAGCAATTAGTGACGACAATTGCAGAACAAAGCCTCATATATATTAAAGCAACTGTGTTTTATCTTAGTGTCATCTTACTAAAGAGATACTGCAATTGATACTGTCTCCTTAAATTGACCTAGCTCACCTTTGCTTCACTTGAGTGTGTTTTCTCTCTGTATGTAGAGCTATCTGTTTGTAGGAGTATGGGTCCTCATCACTATAGTATCCCAAAACAAACTGGTCAATTCTACATTGAATATTTGATAAGTGAGGTTTTTCCTGAGAAGCAAAGAAATTTTTACTCCTTTCAAACTTATTTTTCACATACAAAAATCTGCATATTATGCTGTGAAAAACTGCCACTCTGTATTTTTAACTCCATGTAATTGAGAATGCATCCTCTCCCAACCACTGCGGCCACTAAATAAATACAAATTGTAGGATTCTGTCTTTCAGATGAGACACATAACCAAGGTCCTGATCGTTTATGGCACTTATCAGGAAAGTCTCCTGGCCAAATCTAATTTGGAATATTCTGGATCCATAAACTCCCTTTCTCTTTGACAGTGTTATGTAGTATTGCTCTGTAGTGTTAATCAGCAGCTGCATTTCACCCAAGAAGTTGTATTTGAAGGGTGGATAAAATGTTCCTAAATTATTATAATTTGTGAATCAGTTTGTAAGGCATTTGTAGATGTAAGGCACTACTTAAATGTAAGCTATGACTAACATTTAATGATAATTCTTACTATGATCTCATTTGTGAACGGGCAAGACTACTTTCCTGATGAGTTATATAAGGGAGTTTGATTAATCCTCTTCCTTTCCAGCAGGAAATTTACTGTCCTTTTCAGAAACACTGTCTTGTGGTTAAGGCACCGAATTGGGACTGTGGAGACCTGGGTTCAATTTCCAGCTGTGCCACAGACTCCCTGGAGCACAGGCCTTGTGACCCTGCTTTGTTGACCACCTGGTCTCTCTGGAGAAGATTTTCAAAGGCACGAAGAGTCATTATGCATCAAATTCTCTATTTACAAAAGAAAATATTTATAGGAGTTTTGGTGTCTAACTGCTTCTGAAAACCCTTCCCTTCCCCCGCGCCTCAGTTCTCAATCTGTAAATGTAAAATTGGGATAATTATACTTTCCTACCTTACAGTAGTGTTGTGAGGCTAAAATAATTGATGTTTGTGAGATGCTCAGACAAGGGGAAGGGCCATATAAGTATATATTACCAGACAATGTCTAGTATAAAATAGAGATGCCTACTAAATCCAAAGAAATTTGGATTGAGTCAATTATGAATAAAGAGTCACAATAGCTGTTAATTTTCATCCTACCACTAAACTAACTGCAGATGATGAACATGTGATATTTGCATAATTAATCTTACTATTTTGTATTTTTGGTTCTGTCATCTCCAAAAACCTCCACACCTCCATTTGCCTCTAAAATGTTTGTTGCCTAAATTACTATTGTTCTGGGAAATTGTTGCTATCTTCTTTGTAAAATAAAGATCAGATTTTGAACTGAAATCTCTAAATTAAACAGCACAAAACAACAGACTTTGTACAGTAGGAAACAACCCTACAGTAGTATGTATTAAAGACCTATGCTCCCTCCTACTGAAAATTCTGGGAGGGGAGAATGGGAGAGGAATGTGTCTGCATGGAATTAGTGTTGCATTCCCTCCTTAGGGGGAAGAGTTTGTAGTCTATAAGGTGCCTACTATCTTTGCTGCTGAATACTCATGTACAGGCAGGAGGTACACCTAGAAGCCCTGTGGAGCTTAAGGACTTACAGGGAAACCTAAAGAGGCCTCCATCCCATACTACTCCCCAGAAATTCATTTACACCTTGCAGCATGGCTTATTCAGGAGTCATGCAGCCATTAGCTCCCCGCCACCATGCCTTTGCTCCCAGACCTCTGTGAGGACACTCCTAGGGCATACCCAGACAAGAAAGACAGGTGTTTTTAAAACATGATTTGAAACACTTCATAACACCTTGCATTGTATATACAGATTAAAACGTTGGAAATTGTGCTGGCTCTTGTCTACATTATAGTTTTTTACCTCAGGAATTAACGTGAGTTAGTGAGCAAGGCTGCTCTGGACACTCCACATGTCTCTCTTCCAAAATAGAAACGTTAATTTACCCTAGGCTGAGATCTGTACTGTCACCTTCATAATAACAAGAAGTCTTACTTTCTCTTATAATCTATATTGCGTCTCTTATTATAATCTCAAACACTGCAATTTTTGCCCCTGAAATTTTGGCTGCACAATGAAGGCATGTCCAGTCTCACAATGCGCTTTATACCCTAAGGCCAAATACTATCTGAAGGCATATTTTCATCAGCAGTGACAATGTGCTGTTTTGTATATATTGCTGTAGTATAACAGGAGTCAACTTTGTACCATCTGTTTGTATTTGAACTGAACACTGGAAATAAAAGAAAAGAAAAGAAACCCCAAAGCTTCACAGATACAGCCAAAATTCCTAGCATAACAGAAACCAAAATGGATTGAATTAAATTAAAAGGCAGCGCCATTCTGGCTGCCGTCACCCAAACAGACTCTGCAGAAAGTTTGAAAGCTGATGGGATGGGAGACTTCTGAACAGAGCTCACGGGAGAGACTCATACAGTCACGGTGGCTTCAGGCCTCACCATCCATTTCCTTAACAGATCTTAGCAACAAGTGGATGGTCTAGGATGCTCATCTTATCAAAAAGAGGACAGCTGACAGTCATAAATTCATACTAGCTGCCATGGTCCTTTTTTAAGGGAAGGGGCATTTATCAGCTTCCTTTACAAACATCAGCTACTTCATCTGGATTTTCAGATTAGATTAGGATTTTCAGGTAGAGCATCTATTTGTTCAATAAAGGCAAATGTCAACAACAAATGGTGCACTTTACACTTGTACATTACTTAGTGGAAAAGAGCTGAAGGTAAAATATTCAGTTAAAATTGAACTGTTCTAGATCAAGATATTTCAGCTTCAAACATACCAGGTCTTGTACAGATGTCAAAAACTCTCCTGTTGGTAGGTCTAGAGTAGCAGCCACGTTAGTCTGTATTCGCAAAAAGAAAAGGAGTACTTGTGGCACCTTAGAGACTAACCAATTTATTTGAGCATAAGCTTTTGTGAGCTACAGCTCACTTCATCGGATGCGTTCAGTGGAAAATACAGTGGGAAGATTTATATACACAGAGAACATGAAACAATGGGAGTTTCCATACACACTGTAAGGACCCATATGACCGTTACAGAGACCACTTTGACAGAGCCCCCCACCTTGAGTGCAGAAGAGCGTCTGAAACGCAAGGAGCTACGCAGGGAGGAGCTATACCGGCAGTACTTTGAGGAAATCAAGAGGCGCTTTGATTCAGAGAGGCTTGTGGACTGTTCTGTGATAGTGGTCAATAAACAGACAAAGGAATATGCCGAGTCAGTGGGACGGAAGGTGCGGGATCTGGGCATGGTGGTGGATCTCATCTTCCTCAACACAGAAATGTCACTGACTCAGGCCCTGGAGGACGTAGGCAGAGGAGGGTCTCCTTTTGCCATTGTCATCACACAGCAGCACCAAGTTCACCGCTCCTGCACTGTTAACATCATGTTTGGCACACCACAAGAACATCGCAACATGCCCCAAGCTGATGCCATGGTACTGGTGGTAAGGAATTATGAACGCTACAAGACCGAGACCCAGGTGAGCTGTAGCTCACAAAAGCTTATGCTCAAATAAACTTGTTAGTCTCTAAGGTGCCACAAGTACTCCTTTTCTTTTTGCGTATATAGATTAACATGGCTGCTACTCTGAAAACTGTAAGGAGAGTTTCAGAGTAACAGCCGTGTTAGTCTGTATTCACAAAAAGAAAAGGAGTACTTGTGGCACCTTAGAGACTAACCAATTTATTTGAGCATGAGCTTTCGTGAGCTACAGCTCACTTCATCGGATGCATACCGTGGAAACTGCAGCAGACTTTATATACACACAGAGAATATGAAACAATACCTCCTCCCACCCCACTGTCCTGCTGGTAATAGCTTATCTAAAGTGATCATCAGGTGGGCCATTTCCAGCACAAATCCAGGTTTTCTCACCCTCCACCCCCCCACACAAATTCACTCTCCTGCTGGTGCTAGCCCATCCAAAGTGACAACTCTTTACATAATCAAGTCGGGCTATTTCCTGCACAAATCCAGGTTTTCTCACATTCCCCCCACCCCCATACACACACAAACTCACTCTCCTGCTGGTAATAGCTCATCCAAACTGACCACTCTCCAAGTTTAAATCCAAGTTAAACCAGAACATCTGGGGGAGGGGGGTAGGAAAAAACAAGAGGAAACAGGCTACCTTGCATAATGACTTAGCCACTCCCAGTCTCTATTTAAGCCTAAATTAATAGTATCCAATTTGCAAATGAATTCCAATTCAGCAGTTTCTCGCTGGAGTCTGGATTTGAAGTTTTTTTGTTTTAAGATAGCGACCTTCATGTCTGTGATTGAGTGACCAGACCCCCAACTAAAACCCCTCCAACGCATTATTAAGGATCTACAACCTATCCTAAAGGATGACCCAACACTCTCACAAGTCTTGGGAGACAGGCCAGTCCTTGCCTACAGACAGCCCCGCAACCTGAAGCAAATACTCACCAACAACCACATACCACACAACAGAACCACTAACCCAGGAACTTATCCTTGCAACAAAGCCCGTTGCCAATTGTGCCCACATATCTATTCAGGGGACACCATCACAGGGCCTAATAACATCAGCCACACTATCAGAGGCTCGTTCACCTGCACATCCACCAGTGTGATATATGCCATCATGTGCCAGCAATGCCCCTCTGCCATGTACATTGGTCAAACTGGACAGTCTCTACGTAAAAGAATAAATGGACACAAATCAGATGTCAAGAATTATAACATTCATAAACCAGTCGGAGAACACTTCAATCTCTCTGGTCACGCAATCATAGACATGAAGGTCGCTATCTTAAAACAAAAAAACTTCAAATCCAGACTCCAGCGAGAAACTGCTGAATTGGAATTCATTTGCAAATTGGATACTATTAATTTAGGCTTAAATAGAGACTGGGAGTGGCTAAGTCATTATGCAAGGTAGCCTGTTTCCTCTTGTTTTTTCCTACCCCCCTCCCCCAGATGTTCTGGTTTAACTTGGATTTAAACTTGGAGAGTGGTCAGTTTGGATGAGCTATTACCAGCAGGAGAGTGAGTTTGTGTGTGTATGGGGGTGGGGGGGGATGTGAGAAAACCTGGATTTGTACAGGAAATAGCCCGACTTGATTATGTAAAGAGTTGTCACTTTGGATGGGCTAGCACCAGCAGGAGAGTGAATTTGTGTGGGGGGGTGGAGAGTGAGAAAACCTGGATTTGTGCTGGAAATGGCCCACCTGATGATCACTTTAGATAAGCTATTACCAGCAGGACAGTGGGGTGGGAGGAGGTATTGTTTCATATTCTCTGTGTATATATAAAGTCTGCTGCAGTTTCCAAGGTATGCATCCGATGAAGTGAGCTGTAGCTCACGAAAGCTCATGCTCAAATAAATTGGTTAGTCTCTAAGGTGCCACAAGTACTCCTTTTCTTTTTGTAAGGAGAGTGATTAGTTAAGATGAGCTAATACCAGCAGGAGAGCGGGGGGAAGGGGGAGAAAACCTTTTGTAGTGATAATCAAGGTGTGCCATTTCCAGCAGTTGACAAGAACATCTGAGGAACAGTGTGTGTGGGAGGGAAATAAACATGGAGAAATAGTTTTACTCGATTAGAGACCTAAAAGTGACAGTTCTTCAACAAAAAACTCCTCCCTGTTGCATGAGACTCCCCCCTTGCAGGTGTCCATGGACAGTGATGGGGTAGTGGTAGGGTTCCCCCCTAGAATGCCATGCAGCTGATCATAGAAGTGGCATGTCTGGGGCTCTGACCCGGAGCGACCATTTGCCTCCTTTGTTTTTTGGAAGGTTTGCCTGAGCTCCTTAACTCTCAAGTGGCACTGCTGTGTGTCCCTGTTGTAGCCTCTGTCCACCATGCCCTCTGCAATTTTGGCATATATAAGCATTTCTTCTTTCTGGCATTCAGCCTGCACAGATTCTTCTCCCCATACAGCAATCGGATCTAGTGTCTCCCGTTCACTCCATGCTGGAACTCATTTTTCAATTCTGGGACTGTGTGGTCACCTGTGCTGCTGAGCGCGCCACGATGACCAAACAGGAAATGAAATTCAAAAGTTCCCGGGTTTTTTCCTGTGTACCTGGCTAGTGCATTGGAGTTCAAAGTGCTGTCCAGAGCAATCACATTGGAGCACTCTGGGATAGCTTCTGGAGGCCAATACCGTCAAATTGCATCTGCACTACCCCAAATTTGACCCAGCACAGTTGATTTTAGCACTACTCCCCTTGCCAGGGAGGAGTACAGCAGTCGATTTTAAGAGCCCTTTAGGTCGACAGAATGGGGTTGGTTGTGTAGACCAGGTGCTCCTTTGGTGGCGCTCCTCCTGCTGCACACTCCCACGGATGGTCTTGCGCACCCCACTTTTGGGTACCACTGGTGTAGACGCATTGCTTGTAAAATCAACCTAACACGGCTAAATTCGACCTAACCTCGTAGCGTAGACCAGGGCTGAGACTTGTTTTCAGACTCACTACTCCTGTTGACTTGAAAGCACCTCTAAAAATCAGGCTACTTATTTAAATACCTAAATGTGGATTTAGTTACCTAATTTTAGCACCAAGATTGAATGCTTTTCCCTTATCCTGCCTCAGTTTACATAACTGTAGCAGAGGTACTTCACAGGTGTGTCTGTGTGACACTTAATAGTTTAAAGTACTTGTAGAACCTTGAATGAAAGATGCTATAGAAGTGCCAAGTATTATTACTAATATGACAAGGATAGTGTCCTATAGTTGATTGCTGTAGAATGAATTCCTGATCTCCAGGAGCTGGGAACCCACAAAACCAGGGATCAGTTCTCTGCCCCACTATAATTTCTATAGCTAGCTCACATCACAATACCAGCGAAACCCCAGCAGCATGGGTGTGGCAGCTCAAGAACATACCAAGGGTACTGTGCTACAAAGGTTTCACTGCTATTACTGGAGCCATAGGCACTGACTCCATGGGTGCTCTGGGGCTGGAGCACCCACGGGGAAAAATTGGTGGGTGCTCTGCACCCCCCAGCAGCTCCCCTCCCCTCCCCGCCCCAGCTCACCTCTGCTCTGCCTCCTCCATAAGCATGCCCGCTGTTCCCCCTCCGGCCCAGCACTTGCCACCGCAAAACAGCTGTTTTGAGCAGGAAGCGCTGGGAGAGAACAGGAATGCGGTGCGCTCAGGGGAGGAGGTGGGGCTGGGGCAGGGATTTGGGGAGGGGTCCAATGGGGTAGGGAGGTGGTGAAGTTGGGGTGGGGACTTTGGAGGAAGGGGGTAGAATGGGGGCGGGGGAGGGGCGAGCACCCACCGGCGCCATGAGAAGTTGGCACCTGTGACTGGAGCTAGCTTTGATCTACACGTTATGATCACACCTCCCAAATGCAGTGTAGATTGGTCTCTCTGTACCTCAGTTCCCCACTTGTAAACTGGAGCTGTGCTTCTCTACCTCCTAGGTGATTGCAAAGATAAGTATACTAAAAGATTGTGAGGTGCTCAGATATTATGGTAATGAAGGCCACATGAGTACCTATGATAGCTATATACAGGCTAATTATTACTGAAAGGCCTTTTAAACTTTTTCATCTCCCTTGCATTATGGGTCCTTTTACATTTATGAAGAAAACCTAATGAAGCAATCATGCTGCAATGATGACAGAATCTGTATGTAAATCAATAATCGAATTCAATTTAAGGAATGGCATCAGTCCATTACAAGAATTTTGGCAGCAAACATGGGTGGTTCTAGAATAAAAAAATTCTTCAGCAAAAAAATACGTAAGAGCTTTTACTTACAATTTTAGTTTAACTGGCTGGATGATACAAAGGGACTATTTGAAAAAGTAAAAAGCTTTATATTGCTAAGACACCTCAATAGAACATCACTATTTATATTCCAACAGATATTAGTCAGCTAAATGATCATGATGCTACTTGTCTCCTTAGCTCTTGTTTTTAAGTACTACCTAATACTCCAGGTTGAAAACACTGAAAGATACCAGCTCAGTTAAAACCTTAGGGTTTCGCTTTACTCACCTCTTATGCATGGAGAAGCCTGCAGAACAGGTTTGCACACCCTTAGGAACATGTGGGAGGGCCACAAGAGCTTCTGAAATTATGTCTGAGGATCACAGTATCTAGGGAATAAATGTCAGGCTTGACACTGCAAGTAACTTTTCTTCCATACAGAATGTCTGAGACTTCTGGCACCACATACTCTGAAAACTATCAAGCCTGTGTGTATTTACTTACATACATACACACACACAGAAAGAGAGAGAAACACCCATGAACAATGGAGAAGAACAGAGATCAGGGATATTTAGGGCTGACAAATCCAAGTTGTATTTCAGATGCTTTGAAGTCCAACCTTCTAAGGGATGCCAAAACATACGTAATAAGACAGTGCTGCCCATAAGCTCTGTGTGCACGTAATAATCTCAAGACAGACACTGGCAGAACTAAAATTCTTTCCCCACGAAGGAGGTAGCCAGAAGAAGGGACACATCTCCAAGATGTTAACAAAAGAGAGACTGTGGAAGTCTTTCTAAATGGGGCAAAAGAACTGAGAAAATCCCTTTCATGTATGGCATTTGGTTGAAGGTAAGAGCTCACTTGACTTCTCAGCAGAGTCAGAATTCACACAAAAATAGGCTTACCAATTGGTAATGCAATAGTTATAAAACTGAGCCAATAAGGGTTTATCCACAACTAAAGGGAAACCATTAAATAAAAATTTACCAGATACCAAATAGCCAGAAAATGTCACCTATTACCCAGAAGCCAATACAAAGATTCATGGAAAGTTGGGGCACCAGAGAAGTCCTGGTAAGAAGCCAAGCCTTCCTTCCCACAAGGTGGAGGGTGTTGGGACTTCTTTCAGGGCACTCCTACCCATAACTCCTTGCTCAGGAGATCTATTTTTCATATGTTTTCTGCCTATCTGATATCTGTCTTTTGCCCCCAAACTCCTTTGGATGCTGAAAGAAGAAGGATCACTCTTTTCCCACTCCAAACCCGGAGACCCCATGGTTATTCAGGGGTGGTACTACTTTTGGCAGCTTCAAAGAGAGGGAAAGTGACCTCCACTACTCTGCTCTTCCTCAGAATTCTGGTTCTCAGGTGAGGGGGGTCCTTTTTTTCCAGGTTCATCTCTCATATGATTAGCACCTAAACTGTCCCCTGTTGCTCATAACTGTCCCATATGGCAGCTGAGTAAAAATGAGATGACTCATCAGTTTTACAAAGTTCTGACTAGTCCAGTGGTGAAACAGATTTGTTGCTCCTTAATCTCGCTCTTGAAGAAATCTCCGAGCAGCAACAGAAATCCTGGAAATGCCTACTGCATACTCAGGAAAATAGCGCTGCATCAGGTCACACTTGAAATTTTTTTCATAGCCATAATACTTTAATGGGAATCTAGATTCTTCATAAATTGATGGAGTTGTCCCTTCGCATGCTAGGGAGAGCTTTGCACTTGGCAGAGGAACATAGGAGAGTAGATTTTTAAGTCTACATACTTCAGAAGTTTATTGTTTTTAGTACCTATTTTACTCACTTTTAAACAACTCATGACCTAGTTACTTGCATTTCAATCTTTTGCCTCCTCTGTTATGTGGGATTGTAAAGGAACGGACTCACCCCTGCAGCACCTCCTGCTGGTTGTTGGGAATTAGCTCTTTTCCAGCATGGCACACCCTCTGTAGGCCAGTGATCTGCCACAGCTCTGGCCCCCATGTCCCTCACAGACCCCAGTGCCCCTTTCTCTGGAGTTCTACCCCCTGGAAGTATCCCCCACACTGTGCCTCCGGGTCTCCCCTTCCTCAGGAACCCCCAACCCTCCCCACCTTGCTTCAGTCTGGGCTACTGCCAGTCATCATAGCCCCCACTCCCTGGGGCAGACTGTAGCATAAAGGCCACTCATCATAGGCAAGGGGGTTCAGACCTGCTGCCTTCCTTTGCCTCCTAGTACCTCTATGGGCCTTGGACCAGGTCCTACAGCCTGGAGAGCCCCCACTCAACCTGTTCCTTCCCCAGCACTGCATCACCCTCAGTACCCTGTCAGGCAAGTAGCCAGACCCTACTCTCTCCCAACCTAGAGAGAGATTCCTTAGGCCTCTGCCTCACAGCCTTTTTATACAGGCCAGCTGGGGCCTGATTGGGGCATGGCCCAGCTGCAGCTGCTTCCCCAATCAGCCATCCCCAGCCACAGCCCTCTCCAGGGCTGCTTTTAACCCCTTCTATTTTAGTAGCGGGGTAGCCACCCCGCTACAGGGATCAAATGCAGAAGGAAAAATAACAATGGTGGTACTTCACACTCTGCCTACAAATGAAGCTACACCCTCTTGAAAGTACTCAGAGCATATAGTTGGGGAGATGTTCAAAATATGATCATGGGCTTGCCTCCCACTGGGTGTGGCTCAGATGCCCTATTGAACAAGCCTAAACTCCTTGGTTTGGCCACTTCTCAAAGGAGGAATACAGGGTGGTACTCTATCACTTCCCATTGGTGGTGCCAAAATGAGATGTCACTCACAGGAGATTGTGCAGATCTTTATAATATGATTGTCCCTCTCCTTTCTCTATATGCTTGATTAGCTGTAACACTGACATTTAAATGATCTTCGTTGGACACCTGATTAAAATTAATTGAGACAGTTGTTACCTCCCATAGCTATTGTTTCAAGCTCTCTGAAACTCAGGCAAACATCATTGCATCAGGACAGGTTTCAGAGTAGCAGCCATGTTAGTCTGTGTCGGCAAAAAGAAAAGGAGGACTTGTGGCACCTTAGAGACTAACAAATTTATTTGAGCATAAGCTTTCGTGAGCTACAGCTCACTTCATCGGATGCTTCACAACCAAAATGGCTAGAGACTGACATTTAAAAAACTTTACTTTAAATTAAAGCTGTGATTCCGGAATGTAAGGTGGCACTTTGTGGAAGATGGAGACACAACATATGCCCCTAGTTTGAGTCCCACATATTATAATCTCATTAGTTGTCCAGAGAGTCCTTAAAGGAAAAATAGGGAAATCAAGAACTAATATTTCTAAGTGTAAAAAAATTTAGGGCTGCTTTGTACATTATAAAGAAGCAAAAAGGCAGAGTTTTTTTTCATTCTCACAGTTTGTAAAATATTTTGTTTACAACTGCAAATAAGAAAATACATAATTTGCACAATCATATATTGATAAGTATAAATTCCTAAGGTTATAGAGATAAACAAGGTGCTTCAGGTCTGGGAAATGTACTGTGAGTGTCACAGCTAAATACAAGATGGAACAGATTGTTTAGAATAAGTAAATACATATTTCAAGGGCTCATTCAAGGTGAAGTGACCAGTTAACATCTCTCCAGTCATAGGGGGGAAAGAAGAAGTAAAAAGCTGGGGGGATAGGGGTTAATGGGTTATAGATTGTTTTAATAAGCCATAAATCCAGTGTCTCTATTCAGTCTATGATTTTTAGTGTCTAGAAAAGTTATAAATTTAAGCTTCCAGGCTCATCTTTTGAAGGTGTTTTGGCGGTTTCCTTTGAGGATGAGGACTGAAAGGTCAGATATAGAGTGAATGTTTGTTAAAAGTGTTCACCCACAGGTTATACGGTGTTTTTGTCTTTTAGCATTTTTCTGTGTTAGTTCATTTGAGAGCATAGTGATTGCCTGGTTTCACCCTCATAATTGTTATTGGGCCATTTATTACACTGGATGAGGCAGCATACCACATATTGTGATAGGCATGTGTCGGACTTATGGGACTTGAAAGGTGTGTTCTGGGGGTGGCATTGATCATCGTTGGAGTGAAAATATGTCTACAGGTTTTACATCTGTTGTTCTGGCAAGGTCTGGTGCCACTTTGAGTTAGTGTGTCCTGGTCTGTGGGGAGCTTGCTTCTGATGATGAGGGGGAGAGTGGTTGGGGGGTTGTTTGAAGGCCAGAAGAGGGGGTTCAGGAAAGATTTATTTCAGGCTGTGGACCCCACTGACTATGGGTTGTACTTGTTTAATGACACACCGTATAAGTTCCAGTGTGGAGTAGTAGGTGACAACTAGAGATTGGAGTGGGTTTTATTTCCATATTGAGGCAGGTTCTCTCAAGATATTTGGGTAGACATTCCATGATGAAATCTACTTCACTGGTGGAATATCCTTGTTTTGTGAAAGCAGTTTTAAGAGTGTTAAGATCATGGGCATCAGGTGAATTTTCCCCTGCAGTCCCGCCCCATTCTGCCCCCACTCCACCTCTTCCCCTGAGGCCCTGCCCCCACTCACTCCTTTCTGCCCCACCTTCACCCCCCACTGTGGCCCTATGACTGGAAAAGCTCTGTGCTGCTGCCACAGCCCCAGAGCCACAGTGGGGAGCAAGAGCTCCTCCAGCCCTGGGGTCGTGGTGAAGGGAGATTTTTCTGGGGGCCCCAAATTGGCCAGGGCCCCTTGGCACGGGTCCTGTGGCCCTGTGCAGTAATCCACCACCGCCAACCCCCAGCAGCACGAGGTCAGGCGAGGCTTAGCCTCCCCAAGCCTCCATCACGTGCCACCCATGGTTAAGATATATATCCCAGACTTTCTCCTCAGAGCATATTCTTTGGTATCTGAGTGCCTGGCAATATATAACAAATTTCTTGGTGTGTTTGGGGTGGTTTCTGGATCTGTGTAGGTGGGTGTGCTGATCCATAGGTTTCTTGAATATAGCTGCCTGTAGTGTTCCATTATTGGAGCTGATTGTTGATCCTAGTGTGGGAGTGTTCTAGAGATTGTTTAATTGATAGGTGGTGGTTGTTGAAGATGTGGTGGAAAATTATGAGGGTGTTTAGGTCCTCTGTCCAGAGGATGAAAATATTATTGATGTATCTAACCATTGATTTAATGGTGCATTTACCCAGAAATTCTTCCTCAAGGAGGCTCATGAAGAGATTGGCAATTTGGGGAGTCATCCTAGTACCCATAGTTGTTCCCATGGTTTGGACAAAGTGCTTGTTGTTGAATGTAAAATTGTTATGGCTGAGGATGAAACAGATGAGTTTGGGTGGATATCTGAGTATTTTCCATTGTCTTATAAATATTTGAGATAGGCAGCAATGCCATCATTGTGAAAGATGTTCGTGTACAGAGAGGTGATATCCATGGTGGTAAGTATGGTGTTCTCAGTGAGATTGTTAATTTTATGGAGTTTCTGGAAGAAGCTGGTTGTGTCCTGGAGGAAGCTGGCCCTTTGTGTGGTGAGTGGTTATATAGAGTAATATATACTATATATCTAGAAAGAGAGAGAGGTTATATAGAGTAATTTAAATACTTGCAAATTCCATTCCATTTATTCACAAAATGTCAACGAATATTTAATAATTTGGCCAAGGGAATTAACCACTGAGGGTATGCCTAAACGGCAAAGATAAACCCGCTGCTGGCCTGTGCCAGCTGACTCAGGTTTGCGGGGCTGTTTCATCGCTGTGTAGACTTCCAGACTTGGGCTGGAGCCTGAGTTCTGGGACCCTCTCACTCTCGCAGGGTCCCAGAGCCCGGAAGTCTACACAGCAATGAAACAGCCCCAGTGGCTGGCATGGGCCAGCAGTGGATGTCTTCTTGCTGCATAGACATACCCTTAGGGTGGGTACATGTTCAAAACAGGAGGGAGAATATGATGGCAGGAGAGCATATGGAATCTGGTGACATCGAGATGACTGTTTGAAAAGGAAGAGGGTTTTTTCTTGTCAAGGTTTAAATTTTGATGGATAAATTATTGAGGAATTTTCACTTAGCAAGTATGAAGAATATGAGGGGTCTGTGAGATCAAAGCTGTGGTCTGTGTAATACAGCGTTATGTAGCATAATATTTTTCTGTGGTTCTAATGTTTTTCTGTTTTCTTAAACTGGTACAGTATACAGCATATTAAAACTTCATATTTCTATAGAGTCTGAGGCTCTCAAAGTGCTTAACAAGCCTTAATGAATTAAGCCGCAAGTTAACACAGTGAGGTTGGTAAGTAGTGTTATACTCACTTTACAGAAAAAGCCACTGATTTCTGGTGCTTCCATTATGGTTACCTAACTTGAGACAGGTTTCAGAGGAACAGCCGTGTTAGTCTGTATTCGCAAAAAGAATTATTATTAAGGATCTACAACCTATCCTAAAGGATGACCCAACACTCTCACAAGTCTTGGGAGACAGGCCAGTCCTTGCCTACAGACAGCCCCGCAACCTGAAGCAAATACTCACCAACAACCACATACCACACAACAGAACCACTAACCCAGGAACTTACCCTTGCAACAAAGCCCGTTGCCAATTGTGCCCACATATCTATTCAGGGGACACCATCACAGGGCCTAATAACATCAGCCACACTATCAGAGGCTCATTCACCTGCACATCCACCAATGTGATATATGCCATCATGTGCCAGCAATGCCCCTCTGCCATGTACATTGGTCAAACTGGACAGTCTCTACGTAAAAGAAGAAATGGACACAAATCAGATGTCAAGAATTATAACATTCATAAACCAGTCGGAGAACACTTCAATCTCTCTGGTCACGCAATCACAGACATGAAGGTCGCTATCTTAAAACAAAAAAACTTCAAATCCAGACTCCAGCGAGAAACTGCTGAATTGGAATTCATTTGCAAATTGGATACTATTAATTTAGGCTTAAATAGAGACTGGGAGTGGCTAAGTCATTATGCAAGGTAGCCTGTTTCCTCTTGTTTTTTCCTACCCCCCCCCCAGATGTTCTGGTTTAACTTGGATTTAAACTTGGAGAGTGGTCAGTTTAGATGAGCTATTACCAGCAGGAGAGTGAGTTTGTGTGTGTATGGGGGTGGGGGGGATGTGAGAAAACCTGGATCTATGCAGGAAATAGCCCGACTTGATTATGTAAAGAGTTGTCACTTTGGATGGGCTAGCACCAGCAGGAGAGTGAATTTGTGTGGGGGGGTGGAGGGTGAGAAAACCTGGATTTGTGCTGGAAATGGCCCACCTGATGATCACTTTAGATAAGCTATTACCAGCAGGACAGTGGGGTGGGAGGAGGTATTGTTTCATATTCTCTGTGTGTATATAAAGTCTGCTGCAGTTTCCACGGTAAACATCTGATGAAGTGAGCTGTAGCTCACGAAAGCTCATGCTCAAATAAATTGGTTAGTCTCTAAGGTGCCACAAGTACTCCTTTTCTTTTAACTTGAGACACTATAAGTATTCTCAACCTAAAGTATTAAACAAACCAATCAGGACATTGCCTTAAAAATCATAAAAACTTTAAAAAAATATTTTGAGTTCTTTTTATTTGCCTTCCAGGTTCTAAGCCTTTGATATACTCGGATCACTTTTTTTTAAGGCTTTTCTCTGCAGCCAAGAGCTACATTATGCTACCCTTTTAAAAAAAAACTTGAAAAGAGTCTCATGTAATCACTTGACTCCAGGAGCTGGAGCTTTAAGAAAACACACCAAAAAGCATGAGACTAGTCATAAAAATCATCAGAGTTGGCTTCACTGCTTTGATCCTAACCTTTTTTCAGGAGCTCTGGGCCTCCACCAGTCCAGCTTAAGTCAATGGGAGACAGAGGGCTCCATATTTCCAATTTAATTGGAGCCTGCGGATGTGGACTGGAAAAGGCTTGTGTTTAGGGGATGGAGATCCCACATCCCCAGGAACATCTGTAGAATTGTGCATATGAGATTACTTCATGTGACACACTCATCTGAACTTGGAAGGGGGGAAATTGAGCCCCTCCAACTTGGCAGCTGTAACATAGCTCTCTATCACCACTGAAAGTCACCAGCTGCCCCCCACCTTTCCTACTTGTGGGATAGTTATGGGAGGGGTTGTTGTTCTCGCTGGTCAAGGGGGAAGAACTACATTTCCCATCCTTCTATGCGGTGGCAAAAAAAAGTTGAAGAAAGCAAATTCACACGCAGTGCCTGCTGGGATTTGGTGTTCTCCTTCAAGCATCGCTCCCGCGAACTACATTTCCCGTCTCTCTGTAGCAGGAGGGAGGGGGAAGAGGAGCAAAATCGAGAGACTAGTGCGTAAAGCCCGCCGGGAAATGTGACCCAGCAGGCCAAGAGAACTACATTTCCCGTCTCTCCCAGGGGGAAGACAAATATGTGCGCGCAAAGCCTAATGGGAATCGTAGTCCCTACACCTCAGCACACTCATGTTATGCAAAGGGAACCAGGGAAGAAATAACTACCAAGATGGCGGCGAATGATTCTGTCGGGAGGAGGCACGGGAACTCCGGCAGGTCACACTGCGCAGGGCGGTGGGGCACACGCGGAGTCGCTGGAGTGAGGGAGTGCTGAGTCGGTGCTGCCGCCGCCGCCGCCGCCTTCTCCCGTACGGCTTCGGAGCCGCAGAGGTTTGTGGGGCAGCCACAAAATGGAGGCGAACGGGAACGGCAGCGGGAGTAGCAGCGATTCGGCTCCCGACTGCTGGGACCAGGCGGACATCGAGTCGGGCAGCGGCGCCGACCCTGGGTCTGCCCCGCCGGCCGCAGAGGCCCAGGCCGAGCAGCAGGAGCTCCTCCTTGATGCGGCTTTCAGCCGCCAGCTCAACGTGAACGCCAAGCCCTTCGTGCCCAATGTCCACGCTGCCGAGTTCGTGCCGTCCTTCCTGAGAGGCGGGGCGGCGCCTGGACTACCGCCGCCCTCCCCCCCCACCTGGCCTGCCGCCTCCTCCGCCCCACGGTAACCGCCGCCGGGGCCACGTTGCGGGGAAGGGGGCAGTGGGCGGGGCACATGCGCCGGATGGGGGTATGTAAACGCAGCCCCGGGGCCGAAGAGGAAATGAGGGAACGCGGGGGGAGGGCCTGGTGGTGAGTAGGGCCCTGGCACATTCAGGTAGGAGGGGCTGGGGAAGGGGGGAATAGGGCTTGGAGGGGATATTGGGGGATCTCGTTGGAGGAGGGGTGTGGAAGCCGAAGCCTTGGGGAGTAACACTTGGCTGTGGAGCCTGGAGGAAAAGATTGATGGTGGGGCTTGGGCATAATAACATTTCCAGGAGGGAAGGGGAGCGCCTGGGAGGCATCATTGGAAGTGGGATGTGTGGGTGTTGCTGGTGGCCATACTGGGTGTGAGGACAACATGTAGGGCGGTTGTGTTGGAGAGACCTGGGGGCTAATACTCGTTGGGCCTGTGGGAGGGAAATGGACTGTGAGGCTGCTGAGGGGAAATTTAGGAGTAAGGGATTGGAGTCTGGGAGGAGAATTTGGGTTTGGAATCGGGAGGGGAGCTTTGAAAATGAACTTTGTAGATGGAGAAAAGGACATCAGAGAGGTTGGTGGTACATGAGGAACTTGAGCATAACCTTGGTGTGTGTGGAGAGGAAGAGGGGCTGAGGATCACTTTGCAAAATCTAGCCAGAGGAGCCTTAGGACAGCATAGAAATGTCTTTTTGTGACTCAGGATACAGCTACAGGGTTATAGTGGGTGGAGTTATAGTGGAGCCGGGCAGAAGGGCACTTCGTGGCACAGTTTAGCTACTGGAGCAATGTGCTGAGCGGTTTTAGGAAGGAGACAATAGGGTACAATTTAGGAATCTGAACAAGGGTGCACAATAAAGATATCCTTATTGTCAAGAAGCAGAGATGCAAAATGGGGTAATTCAGTTTTAATTAGTATCGTGTTTCATATACTATCTATATCCCAACCCCCCTCTATATTACTTTTTTATCTTGCTTTTCATCCTGACGGGTCAAAAAGCGCCTTAGAGGTCAATATACTTTTGAGAGATTGGAGTGGATTGAAGGGGAGGGGAAACTGAGTGTAGAAAAGGGAGATAGGTCACAGGTCTGGGTCACAGTAGACATGACATGGCTTGGAGATTGGCCCTGTATCTGCCACCAACAGTTTCAGAGAGATCATTTATGCCTTTATGAAGAGGATCATTTTAAGCATTTAATAATCTTTCCAGTGTGACACATTTGGTGAGGTGTTTGGGGAGTGGGGCTCTGCGGCAGTGCTCTACCTTAATATCTTGAATTTCTATATTGCCTTTCATTTCAAAGGATTTCACGGTATGTTGCAAATAGCATATGCATGGGATTAATGGGGTGAAATTAAACAACAGCTTCTTATTAATACCTGTTCCAAATTGAAGGAGTTGCCTTCCAAATGTCAAAAATGTGGATTAATTTTACAGCAGCTTGTCATTCATAAATTCTTATTCATAGATTACAGGGTCACTCTTGTGATTTAGGATTTTGAAACTTATTTGAATATGACATTTAAAATCTCACTATCTATTTTTGAAATCTTCCTTTATTGATATTAACATATGAGACAGCCCTCTATTTCAGATATCAGGGTTGCAGTAATTCATAGTCACCAATTTGTTATATAGTGTTTAATAAGCCATAGCCAGCAAGAGATCATGAGTTATTAAATATGCATGCTGACTTAGTATCTAAATGAATATCATAGTTGCCTTAATATTTGATGATGATGATGATGATTGAAATCAGTAACCAATCTTTGACTTATTGGTTTGTAGAAAAGTGTGTAAAATATTCAATATCAATATTAAAAACTAATATCCTTCTGTTAAACAATTAAGTGTAAAGCTCTATGTTCATTAAGTCTGACTTAGTTTTATACCGAATACTTTCTGATATTGTAAATTTCAGGACATGTATGATGTGGGCAGCTGACAATAGGCATGACCTTGTACGATACCATTTAAAATATTCTTTGGATAAGCTTTGGACAGACTCCTCGATTCCTATTCAAAGAATCCATGCACTTTAATGTTCATAGGTAAATGTAAATTGTAAAGGTGCTGCAAATAGTTGAAGTTATATCAGAATTTGTATTATGAACCTTTGAAAAAATCTTTGAAGTTCACTCTAATATGAAACTTGGAATTCACATTTTAAAATAATTCAACAAATATTTTTACGTCTTGTACATAATCCATCTGAATCTTTTAAATTTAAACAATATGAAAAAGTTT